ACTCGAGTGGTGGGAGTAAACATCTCGAGATATCTCGAGTGATCTCAATAATCGAGTACCACTCGATTTTTCACTCGAAATCTCCCATCACTAATTTTTTTATTTGTGTGGCCGAATAGTGGAAATAATGTCTGTTTATTTACATTCATGCGCCAATTCCCAATCGTAATAAGATTTTTACAAATTGATTTCGTGCGTTTATTTGATTTTATATCAAATTTTTACAAATTTGATATAAAATATCAATTTATAAAACAAAATGGAAAAAGTGACAAAAATAATAAAGTTGACCTAATTATAATTGAAAATATAAATAAACGGACCTTATTTCCACTATTCGGACATATTAGTAAAAAAATATAAATTGGCGTACTTATGGGACACTGATCTATAGCTTATAAACAATATTCAATAACTTAGGTTCTGTTTTATAGAGTATAAAGGGTAGAAGTATTACCCTCCATAACCTATTTTGATCGAAATTCTGTAAGCGATGATTGAAGGATCTAAATTTATTCCAATCTATATTTTTTGTGTTCAGAGGTGCCTACCTTCCGATCATTCCAATTAGGGATGTTCATTGTTCTGTGACTTCAATCTTTTCCCGTGCATGTCCTCTCGTTAAAACAAAAATCGTTGACATTATTTGCGTTTTTATGGATAAAAAATTGTTTTATGGTATAAAAAAACTAAAGAGTACCAGAAAAGAGATTAATTAAATTTGCGGTTATAAACTATTCTGAGTGTTTGTGGATTTAGCTTTAAGGTGTACAAAAACAATATGAGTGAAGCAACTGTGGAATCGGCTTATGTTCCTTATACGGCTACTTTTCAGTATGCAGAGTACAATTTTGAAAATTCTGCCTTAGAATTGGCCAGATCCCAATGGCCGAACTATGACGATCAACATTACCTTCGAGGATGCAAATGGTCTCCCGATGGTACCTGTTTACTTACTATTGTTCGAGGAGCTGGCATGCATGTTATGGAACTGCCTGCAGATCTATACACTGGTGAAAGCGTTATGACGAGCAGACCCATAGTTCCCTTGCAGCCAGCCGTTAGTGTTCCAGAATCTGGACTGATCTACGACTACTGTTGGTATCCAGGAATGAACAGTGGCAATCCTGCTACTTGTTGGTACGATCCTTGAGTATATATTTACAGCTTGCCAATAATTAATTTATTTTCAGTTGGCTCTCTAGTGGGCACGGGGGCCCGATACACTTATGGGACGCCTTCAGTGGGGACTTGCGTTGCACTTACAGAGGCTACAACAACGTGGATGAAGTGGAGGCCGCTATGAGTGTAACTTTTTCAGCAGACGGTCAGAGTATATTTTGTGGCTATAAGAAGAATGTTAAAATTTTTAGAACTGGTCGGCCCGGTAGAGAATACGTTGAGTACCCGACGTCACATCAGGCTTCTTGTTTAGTCACCAGCCAAGCCCAGCCTGGCGTCGTGGCTATAGGTATGTTTATTCTAACAATTATAACAACCTGAAAAATTATTAAGTACTCTAGTTCTATTACGGTTTGAAGAAATCTATTGCGGAGCATTGGATATTTTGCATAGTGGTAACTCTTTCGCAATTTATAATAATAATTCTTTGCAATAACAGTGTATATTTTCTCCTTTTAGGTACGTGGAAGAACACAATCGAACTAGTCTCCCAAAGCGACGGCACCTTCCGTCACCTCTGCAAACTCAGCGGTCACAAGGGTGGCATCACCTCCATGGCCTTCTCACTTGACGGATTCCGTCTGTACAGCGGTGCCCGAAAAGACAAGGAGATAATCTGCTGGGATCTGCGAGTAAGAAAGCCCATGCCATCATTGTTTTTTCAAAGGAAATCTTCCTTCGTGTCGAGTAAATAATATCTCTAATATTGTGCTTTTTTAAGGTACCGGGCAGGCCCATGTTCTGCGTCCCTAGAGAGGTTAACACGAACCAAAAGATCAGTATAGATCTGTCCGTGGACGGAAAGTGGTTGGTGTCTGGCGGGACCGATGGTAAAGTACAAGTGTGGAATGTCACAGAACAGACCTATCCGTCTGTACACATGCAGGTAAGTTTGATTTACGATTGAGCAATGAGCGTTGCGTGGCTGAAGATATTTTGCGTTTTTCTGCGTGTGTGGTGATACAATTTCGAAATTGTGCTGCTTTTTAAAAATCTTCGTTATTTTATTATACTCGACCTTTCAACGTGACATCATATTTTTTTCAGTTTTGAGTTTCCTTCTTTGTTTTTATCGTTTTCTGTATTTTAATTATACAGGGTGTTCTCTATTATAATTTCAAGAGGTTGTTCTTTAGCTTATTTTAGACCAAAAAACTTTAATGACCTAAGGGTGCCTACAGGCTGCTAAAGTTTAAAGAAATCATTTTATTCATAATTAATTAAAGCAATAATTTACTGAATTCTGTACCAATTACTAAGATATTGAAAGATACGCCAGAATTTTAGTACTGGGTATTTTGGAAATTAGATAAATACGTTTAACTCCAGATGTTATTTCCACAAAAGATGAAGAAATAGTCGAAATTGTACATTATCAGTCACTTACAACGAAATATTGAACACACTGAGCATACAAATTAGGTCATATAATAAAAATACCCAGTACAGCAGCTGTAAGAGTCGATTTCTTTTATGCATTTCACTTTCAACACAGAAACTCTAGCTCTAACAGTCATTTCTTTGGATGTAGTCGCCCGTATGAATGCTTAAAGGACACAAAAATATGCACTAAATGAAACGTGAGCCTCGGCCGGTGATACAAACTCTACAGGCCCCATTACTGTGTTCCCTATTTACACACCGAAATAACAAACTACCCATTACGGTGGTAATTTTATGTTTTACGTCTAAGCGCTCTGGTCATTCCTCAGATTTTTCAGGTCTAAAGTAATCCAAGAAACAATCTTCTGAAATTGTGACTCGAGTTCGAAAAACACCTTTTACAAGGTGTAACTTTGAATTGGGGTCTTATTTATAGGGAAGCTGCATTTGACCTTTGGAAAGTAACACAGCATGTATTGTCGTCAAATCTCATATTCCTTGAACAATATACACAGAAATTTAACAACGAACACAGACAAACATGGTGTACCGTCACTAAATTGAGAACGCTATACGTTTGTTTCTGTGACTGTCAGGAACATGCACAAATGGAATTTAGCGTTCATGCAGCGTCAATTTCAAACTCTGATAGTTCCACGTTCTTGCAGAATTTCAAAGCTATTTCAAACGGTTTGCTGACTATCAGATCAATTCGTTGATTATCCTCAAACCATCGGTTTGACGCAAGTTCTATGATAATTTTAACAAATAACCACAACTTTTTCAAAAATTGAGGTATTGGGACGCTTTTTTTTTCAAAATTTTTGTTTTTAAATGTACTTTTTGAAAAAAAAAAATAGAAAATTATCTTGTTTTTTTCAGTTTTCGAAAAAAAAAACGAAAATTTCTCGATAATTATATTTTTGAAAAATTTTAATTTTTTCTTATAAAAAACTGACATTTTTTATAAATCCTCAAATTTTTTAAGTTTTTTCGTTTTCTATTTTTTTATCGATTGAAAAAATATTTTTTTTCAAATTTAGCTTATTTCACACCATTTTGAAAATATATGTAGAATCCCAAAATAGAAAAAATATATATGAATGAAATAATTGAGTGACAAACATGAAAAAAATTTCGATTTTTTTTGAAAAGGTTAAGAAAAAAATAGAAAATCGTTTTGAATAATTTTTTTGTATTTTTTTTCGAAAACTAAATCCAAAAACAAAGAAAATGAAAAAAAAGTTGTTATTTGGTCCATTTTTGGACGAACAGTGGGCTTTAAAAAAAGACGTGCAACGCATTTGAACTCAAATAAATCATTTTGAAACCATCCTCTTTTGACTTTTTGAAATTGTCATCAATCGCTGCGTAGAGTAAATTTTTTCAATTTTGGGATTCTATAAAAATAATAATAATAATAATATGAAAAAAATTTGAGGATTTATAAAAAATGTCAGTTTTTTATAAGAAAAAAAAAATGTTCAAAAATGGTAATCATCGAAAAATTTTTTTTTTTTTTTTCGAAAAATTAAAAAAAAAAAAGTAAAGATAGGTAGAGATAATTTTGATCTATTTTTTTTTTTTTCAAAAACAAACATTTTGAAAAAGTTATGGTTACTTAAAGAAAAGCTACTTTTTCAAAAATTCATAACTTTTTTGAGTTGGGTGAAAATAATTGAAAAAATTCTCAGAGGTTTTCAATGGGGTGGAAAACAAAAAAGTTTCAGCCAAATCGAAAGGTCAGGGTTATCAGTGGTCGATTTGGCGTAGACTGCCTCACATACTACGATTAACAAAATAAATATTCCACTTAGTAAAAATTAAAGATTTTAAAGTTTAAAGTAAATATTTATTGAGTAATTAAAAAAAAAATACTTAAATATAATCAAAGGGAAGTGCTTGAATATTTTTACATGTTAAAATCAGCTATTGTCGTAAGTTGCAATCTCATTTCAAATTCTGCATTAAGCGCATCGCGATACTTTGTTTTTGTCGCTACGTACGTGGAAAATGATTTTTCGCACAGGTACGTAGTTGCAAAAGGCATTAATAATTAATTGCCTGGTCAGCAATTCCAGGATATTATAAATCTCTAGCCAAAAATCAAGGGAATGGCGACATAATCAACGCCAAGAATGCTGCGCCAGCTTATACATTATAAGCCGACTTACTTGCACTTCCATTAATAGACAAAGTTCTTATAGCGACTTATACGCGTGTATAAATTTTTTTGAATTTTGTAATTATCGATAATAAAATTTGAAATTTTTGACTGAGTCGCAGAATGCCCATAGAGGTTGTGCGGAACCCCAGGGTTCTGCGGAACACAGATTGAATACCGCTGATCCAAACTAAGTCAGTGTCAGAGGTTGTTGACATTGAGGTACACAAACTAAACACTGCTTTAAAATAGTACCAAATACTTTTTGATAAAGACTAGAAATGTTTGAAAACAATATTTTAAATTTATCACATTAGTGTTTATATTTATTTCATATTATGCAGGTACATTTCATAAAATAGCAAAATTATTGTTTTAAAACATATTTTCGCGCCTTGTCCGCATTAATATTTAAAACAGTGGTGACTTTAAAATAACACATTGCAACGTCATATAAAAGCAATCTCCTTTTACGAAATTATTTTTTATTGCAGTTTCCTTTTCCGCTACTCTGTTAGTTTCACACAGTTGGTTTAAAAAAAAATAAGAACCGGCAACACTGACGAGAGTTCTTAAGCTTAAAAATACCCCCACTTAGAGTTACACCTTGCATAATAACAGAAAACTAAATTCAAAATTGACTTTTACAGTGTGCGAGTCTGACTAAAATCATTAAAAATATGTGGAGAATGGAAAATTTGTCTGAATGTTGCATGTTTGTATGTTTCTGAAAATTAAAGTCATTCCATTGCTGTAAAAAGAATATTTTTCACTTATTGCTACAAAAGCTCCTTAGACCGATCGAAATAACTCATTTAGAGGGAAAAAAAAGAAAATTGTAACCTGGACTTTTATAAGGGGCTTATAATAAATGAAAATAAAAATAAGGACGTGAGAAGGGGCGGCGGAGGGTTGATTTGGGGGGTTGAAAAGTTGTGAAAATTGTATCATTGGGATTTCTGGCGAAAGTTGACGTCAGACAAAAAAGTATCGAATACTAAAGTCATAGATCATGCAAAAATCTACAACTTTTGTAAAGATCTCTTTTTAAGATAACCTCAAAATTTCCGAGAACAATGCAAAAAACAGTTTTTTTTCTGATTTTTCGTTTTTTATTTCTCATTTCCACAAAAATAATTGAATTTTAACGAAACTTGGTGAAAGTATACCTTTTTGCGTCTTAAATAACCTCAAATTTTTTTTAGATAAAAAAATCAAGAAGCTTCCGAGATATTAATTTTTTCCGATTTGTAACACTTTATTTTGATATTTTGAAAACATTCAGAGCCGTAATCAAGAAAAATTTTAAATGATAGTTAAAAACCTTTTTAAACGATTACAATAGTAATATCATCTAAGTAATTCAGAATTAAAAATGACTAGATTTTGTCATAAAAATAGCAGCGACATATTTAAAAAAATTAATCTGATGATGGCCCCTCGAAGACGAAACGTTGCATACAAAAATGTTGACGCCATTGGATAGAGCGAAAAAAGTGGCAATGTAAATATGCAATTTATTTTAAAATTCGTTTTCAAATAAAGCCAGAAAGCCAGGTTTCGCGTGAACAGTAGACTTTGCAGTTAATACTTTGTATTCACCAGAAATCCCAATGATACAATTTTTCACAACTTTTCAACCCCCCAAATCAATCCTCCGCCGCCCCTGCTCACGCATTTATTTTTTTTCGTTTATTATGAGCCCCTTACCATTTCCACTTTTTTTTTCTCCAAGTGTAGTTTGGTTGGACTACTTGTATAAAATATATTTAAGTTATATGAAAATTGGAAAATACAGAAAAACGTCGATAGGGTTATTAGGAGCGATAAATTAGAGTATGTAATATCAAATACCTAGTTCTTAAATTTACGTATTATTGAAGAGAGACATTGGAATAAATAAAATAATTGTGTTTATATAAGTAAACAAATAGCGACGGTTTTGGGCATGGAATGGTGTTAATTTTGAGTCTTGTACAGCAACTTCTGAATTGAGGTTTGTAATAAGTTAGCGATATTTACAGGATGTAATAGTGTGTCACCGTTTCGTGACCCAGGATTTAAAGCCAGGATAAATAAATTTATTTATTCCTTCCTAACAAAATCACTTAAAATAAAATTTATTCAAATTTGAAAAATTTAAAATATTCTCGAGACCAGTAGAGGAACAGTGACATTTTTCCTCATTCTCAGCTATTGGTAAATGTTACCCTCATTTCGAAATGTCCACTTCTAAGCGACGGCCCGTTTTTCAGATGTCCTTGCACAGCGATTGCTGTAACGGGGTGAGCTTACACCCTTACCGGCCGATACTGGCGACGGCTTCAGGCCAGCATCACGCCATGGATCCCCTCCATCATTCTCGGCATTCCGTTCAATACGAAAACGCACTGTGCATGTGGTGGATCGGGCAGCAGCAGGAAGATCCGGATTTGCTCGCTACCATTATCAAAGCTGCTACCAACTCCTAAGACTCTCGCTTACGCACATCTAGGCATATTCAGTTTTTAGAACTCCATTTGTAATATGTATTTGTATTTATAGTGTTACATTACAAATAAAGTATTTTTTAACAAAAGTCAAAAGTATTTGTTCGATGTATTGAATCTTTTTTTTTTCAGGCACTACTAAACATATATTTTGGATATTTTTTGGTTCCCAAAGTCAGTTCTTCTGCTTTTGTCCGAAATAAACTTACAGTCTAATTTGAACTTTTACAATCTTTTAAAAAACAAGAAACAATACATAGGTAACAAAATTTTACACCACACGTAAACAAATTACGTTTAATAAGAAAAGAAAGCGGTGAATAGCTATTATTGCGTTACGGGCGAACTAAGCCCAAACTGTATAGTAAAGGACCTAAATCTGTGTAAAGTGTTTACAGCGGTGGTCATGGTTACTGTCACGCAGCAGTGAAAGACGGATTGGGAGTAGCGCATATTTAAGGAGAGAACACATTAAGCGGTAGCGGTCCCGTTGCATTGCGGTCTGTTCTGGGCTGAGCTGATCGCGGTCTTTTTTAGTAAGGAATGCATTAGTGCAAGTTTATGTTGCCACGACATAAGCCACGGGCCGAGCTATACGGTAAGGGCCTAGATAAATGCTGCGAGGAGTGCGACAGTTGTACATGTTGGAGCGAAGCACCAGGACTCTTCTGATCTATAAATTTCAGTTTTGTAACGTCTTGCCCTCAGTTTTCAAAATCCACATATTTCAGTTACTCTCTTATAAAACTATTTAAAAAAACAGATAATACCCAACGATTTCCTAATAATATTTAAAGATTAAAATAACGAGCATCCAAATAAAAACGAAGTCAAGTAGACGCTGTCCTCTATTGGCCCTAGCAAATTTTTTTTGTTTAAGCAAAATGAAAAACGGCCTCTTCTAAATAGGACGATTCACAGTCCATTGAACATTAGGGATTGCATCCCCCGGTTTGTAGATGGTAAAATTATACTTATTTCTTATTTTTATAAATTTTCACAAAAATACAAATTACAGACAAGATTGCTTGTGAATCATTGGTTCTGTTCAATAGAAATAATTTCCATTTTGTTACATACATTTTTTCCGAAATAAAAAATAAGGATTGCAACCCCCAAACACGGAATCACTTGTGAAACATCTGCTTTTTTATAAGAAGTAATTTCCACTTTATTTCATTCCAAAATATAGATTAGAACCCGAGATATCACGGAAATACTGTTTCTGGGGGTGAACATGAGGGGTAGTTTGCATCCGTTTAAATCCGCTTTAGGCAAATAGAAAAAATTATTCGTATGATTAAAGAAAAAGTAAAAACTTTTTATATATAAATTTTGTATATATAAAAGATGTTTGAAAATTATAGTTTTTCTTAAATAAAAAATAAGGGTACCAACCCCCAAACACGGACTCACTTGTGAAACATTTGTTTTTTATACGAAGTAATTTCCACTTTGTTTCTTTCCAAAATATTGATTAGAACCCCAGATATTTAAAAAAAACTGTTTTTGGGGGCGAGAGTGGATTTCACCCCTAAATATGTTTTTCCGCCGATAAAAACATCTTCCATAGAACCCATTTTCACTACTAAAACAATACTGCAACTATTTAAAGGAGTGTGTGCAATTGTCAAATGCGACTGACTTTGTAATAAAAGACTGATCAACTCAGTCCAGAGCGGTCCGCAATGCAACGGGACCGCGACTGCCTAATGCGTTCCTTACTAAAAAAGACCGCGATCAGCTCAGTTCAGAACGGACTGCAATGCGACAGGACCGCTACGGCCTAATGTGTTCTCTCCTTAAATATGCGCTACTCCCAATCCGTCTTTCACTGATGCGTGACGGTAACCATAACCACCGCTGTAAACATTTTACAGATTTAGTTGCGAGCTGGATGAGCCCACGTATTCTGTGTATTTTAAATTAATTTTGCAAGTCAAAATAAATTGACTGCACATTATAAATTTAACATTTTCTTTTCAATGTATTTTATAAGGCTAACCTATTTAATTTTCTAGATAACGTAAACTAAATAAAATTTTTTTTTCTACGATAATTCATAAGGGGGTGGCATCCCAGAGCTCCCCCCCCCACACCAGCCGCCACTGGTAATAACCGAGGTAAGCTAAATCATTGGCCTTAAATAAACGATATTGTAGAAACAAAGAGAACGTCACAACTGAATCAAATTTGCTAACTTCAATTTTTTGATAGTTTTCTCCTTTTAATAAAGTTAAAAATATTTCAACAAAAAAACAAATTTATTTAATTACAAGTAACCACTGGACTGAGGTTTTAGGATTTTCATTTGATCTTACCAACCGTGAATTATTGGTTGCCTATGCTCGACGGTCACATGGCTTGTAAACATTTATGAAGGCGCTGTTTATGTTCCGTGATTTTTGACTGTATCATATATTAATGTTTTTTAAAAAGTTTATAAACCATTCAGTCTTACACATTTTTTCGTATCAAATAATGCAGAAAAAATGAGTGATACGTTGAAGGAAAATTTTAATGAAACGAGCGAATGTTAAGACAATTTAATCATAATAAATAAGTGCTTTAACAATAAATAAATCGCTTAATAACACAAATAAATAACATTTATTTAAAATTTTGAGATTCAAAGCTTAACAAAATTAAGGGGAAGGCGATTTTTGATTATGTGAGTAATAAGCGTTAATATCGAGCATATCAAGCAATTGGATCAAGTGAGGTTGATAGCCGCATTTGGCCACTTTACGACATACTTTAAACAAATACAAAACCAGTTCCTCGAAATTTCTGAAGATGCTTTCCAGCTTTTGGAAGTTCGGGTGAACGTAAAAGCCATCTTTGCAGGTCCAACTGCGAGACCTCAAATAGTCGAAGAATTTCAGTATCACTGTGAAGATTCTTTGGATGACGTTTCTCAAGATAACGGTTTTTTGATTCAGAAGGCACCTGAAATAAAAGTTAACGAACTATATAGCGTGTTTGTAAAATAATGTCCATAGTAACAATAAAACATTTAATTTTAACATGTATTAAATACCACAACTCTTTATTTTCTACAAAAAAAAAAAACAAAAATTAAGATTAACTTACATGAAGAGAATATTTTTTATGTACGTCGTATGCGCAGAATACAGTTCATCGATATTAGTCACGTTGGCCAAATTTTTCTCGAACACTTCCCAACTGGACTGTAACACTTCCCCGACGATATAATTTTGTAACGTTTGCATAAAATGTGTCATTATGTGTCGACACTGATGCAGTCTTCGATACTGAGGCGACGCCATCAGGTAAATTTCTTTTTTCCCCGTTTCTTTCGCCAGTATTTTCAACTCCTGAAAATAAATTTTTAATGCTTAATATCACCTACATGCATAGAAAAGGTAGGAAATTTAAAATCTCTAAATAAATCAACGTTCAAGGTGTTAAATTAAAAAAGTACAAAGAAATATTAAAAATTGCCTTTTTTGTGCTCAGAGTTTCGTCATCTTCCAATATCAAACATTTTGTTACATAACACGCAAGAAATACACAATAACTTCTTTGTTACTATGTTTTAGTATGCTCGCTGACAAATAAGTATTTTGTTCTTGAACTCCTTGTCACATGTTGTTTAGAATACAACATTCTGGATCTGTTAAATTCAGTTGTTTACAACTACACTGATTATCAGGTTGGCCATTAACACCTGCACACGATTCAATTTTTAACAACACACTACTTTTACGTTTATGACAAACACTGACATATCTCGGCTAGAAACTGATACATGGAGGTATTTCAAGAAGTGAAACCAAGCAGTGTCAATTATCTCCCTTTTTATACTCGATAAAGACAGAAATAAGTGCTTATAACAAAATGTTACAAGTGAGTGTACGCCAGCTGAACATATTATCGGAACACTATGCAAAATGAATTGCACATTACAATTTCCTCGCAAAAAATACAGATAATTATTTTATCAGACTAAGGAGGATCGGATGCTTCGTACTATATTTACCGTGTTAAATAATCATTGCTGCCAATGCAAAGAAAAATATTCTTTAAGACTAGAAAGTAAGTAGATTGAGATACTTGCTTGTAGATAATACTGAATAAAATCGATTTAAAAATACTTATAATTATATATTTGCATCTTTTAATTATTCTTTTTTAAGCAACATGCATAAATAAATGCCACTAGTTGCAACAGAAAGTTGGCAACAGCGCACAAGTATTATTTGTTAGTTGGCAGTTCTTGTCATGTATACAGGCCATTACAAATTCGTTTCTCACTACAGGGATCTCGGAAACGGTAAGAGGTACAAAGCAGTTTAAATAGGGGTAAAGTTGCATAATTAGGGGACCAACATTATGCCTCTAAAAAATCAAGGCTAATATATTTAGTTTTCAAAATATTTGCAAAAAAAAACGAAATTTTGGAAATCCGTTTTTGTTTCATTTCTGTTTTGTTTGAGATGATATTGAAAAAAGAAGACCACTTTCCCATGGCCATTCTTTGCCCTCTGTCGAATGGCATAATCAATTTTTATATGTAACGTTTCGTCTCTCCGGGACCATCATCTACTTCAATTTTTTAAATACGACCCTAGAAATTTTATTAAATATTTTACAAGCCTTCATGACCCCTAATACTATATTACCTCTGCCTGAACCAGATTCATACATTTCGTCTCGAAAAATTCATCTTCAGTGTAATCGTTCCAAATTTGTCTACATTTTTATTTAGATTTCTTTGTTTACTGAATTATCGTACACTGTGTCGCTAGACCCTGTGAAATCCATCTTGTTATTTAGGAGAATTTGTGACCAAAAGAAAGTATGTGTTTGAGAATTAGAATAGAAAATAGCAAAAGCAAGAAAAAAACTGTTGAAGAGAAGATTGTGGAGCCAGAACCTCAGCACACCATTCGAGGGCATCAACTAATCGACATAGAGTACATGGCACAAAGCATGCACTGCTCTTATTGCAAAGAACTTTTGCATATTTTAGATTATATACAAACGAAGTGATCCTCCTTAAATAGTAGTAAAAATTGTGGATTGAGTTACTATTTATGATGACCCACTAAAACTTTTTTTTTTGGCACTGGCACTTACACGTTAAGCTAGCAATTTTTAAAATCGTGACGACAGCTAACTACATTACATACTTATCAAAGAAAAACTACAATGACATCTATATATAACCAATTTTTTAAATATTTAAAATAAATGTGCTAATGTAACTAAAATTGGTATTAAATAAATATAAAAACCCTAAAAATCACCAAAACTGGCTAATAACTTACAACCGACGCAAATATATTTTGGCGAATTTATTGGAGCTAGAAAATTTATCACAATGTATGTATTACTTGTAAACTTGGACAAATTGCTTGATCAATGTAGTGAGTCAAAAATTGGTACACGTAAAATGACATCTTGTTCCCGCAGCAGTTCGTTAATTAAAAATTTGAATACTTACCAAAAATATTTTCTTCAACACCCACGACACCCTATTCAGCTTCAAAAGGTACTTGAAGACCTCGTCGTACTTTGCTATGGTATCCGTCGGCAGCAAAACATTCAATGGCCAGTTCACCTTGTACGTTAAAGAAAGGCAATCCAAAACGTCGGGATTACCCAGGTCGAAGCAAATGGGCAGGCTGTTAATCTTAAAGGACAAGCAATGCGAATTTCCCTGTTCCTTATTCGACACGTCCATCGCCCCAAACACCACGTCCTGCAACGTACGACAATTTATCAGCTCGCGGGGAAAATTAGCGTCGTACAACTTAGCGAACAAGTTTTCGGTGATGTTTCTTCCGAATTCTCCGTCCTGCAGGAAGAAGTAGTCCCTCAGGCTCTCTAAATGTTGCAGGTAATTGAGATCGTTTATGAAGTAACGGAGCAGTTCGTTACTGACTAGTTTCATTTGCGCTACGAGTGGTATGTGGACGCTTTCATACAGAAACAACTTGAGGCAGTTTGTTGACACTCCCGCAGCCTCTTCGGGTACCACGCGTTTCGAAAACACCGTCTTCTCGTAATTGCTCTCTTTCCGATCTAAGTAAATAGTGAAAATGCTGTCGTTTTGTGGCGTTCCGAAGTTGAAACCCTCGTCCGTCTGTTGCGTTTCAGCGGTATTTGGTATACTCTCGACTTGATTCGTGTCTATGCTCAAGAACATGGTGCTGGGAGTTGTCACTGTACTGTGAGGCAAGTCGCTCAACGGTGTCGAATCAACTGACATAGGAACGGGTTTGTCCACTTCCGACTTGTGACTCTTTACGCTGAGTTTATCGAAGTCCAGCGAAAGAGATTTGCTCTTCTTTATCGCCCCACCTCTAGTGATGATTTCTGCATTACGAATGTTCTTGTTTAAGAAGTTCTCGTTATCGAGTTGGCTGTACTGGAAGCAGTCGCTGATGCCCATAACTTTGTTCCTGTTGATTATCGCGGCATTCGTCAGTCTGCCCGTTCTGATATTATCCGTCTTGATTTGTATACCGAATTCCGAGGATAATACCTTCAGTTTATTCTTCTGAGCATCGGTTAAAATGGTGAGCGTAGGATTGTCTGTTGGTTTAACTTCGATTTTAGGGCAGTAGTCTATGCCCATTTCCTCGGTCATCACCTTATGCTTGATTTTGCGGGCTAACTCAAAATTGTCAATGGCTTGTTGGATAGTTTTATTCTTGGTATCCGATTCTTTTACGATTATTACGTTCTTGTTAGAATTTTCGTCTCTGGCGTTAATTTCATTGGCGTTTATTATATCCATTGACTCCGACGAATGTATTTGGTTCAATTCGACGTTTATTTCGGTTTCTTTGCAAGACACATCCGAAACGGAGTAAAAGCTCTCCGTCGAGCTGTTCGACTTTTCAGTTACATTTTTCACTGTTTCAATTTCAATTTTATCTATTTCTATGTTGTTGTTATGCTCTTGGATATCTTTTTGTTGCAACTGACACTCTTGTTTTTCTTTCTCTGAAAGGTTTGGGTCTATGTGGATACTTTTTATTTTCTTAATGTGATTTTTAATTTTTTCTCTTCGCTTTTCAGCCGTTTCAAATAGCTGGTGGTAATATTCGACCATTTTATTCCTACAATGATAATTGTACATGAAACACAAAACTTTTAGAAAAAAAATGAAATTTTGAAACGACTACCTACGTCAAAAGTATTTAAAATATGTTTAGATTAATATTAAATGTTTTTTTCCAACCAAATTTCTAAAAATATATAGGTATTCTATTAGGTCTTGTACTTCTGCTTTATTTTAAAAGCATTGGTCTAATTCAAATTCAAGTCAAAAATGTTCATTGGATACCAAAAATCTAAGTAGGCAAAAGATGAGATATATATGGGAAGCGGAGGTCAGTTTTTTTTATTAAATCAATTGTTAGGAAGCAAAACTACTAGGGACAATAAATAATTTAGAAAAAACAGATTACTCTTGTATATCTTTGCGACATTTTAAAGTCACCATATTTGTTTAAATAGTTATAAAATAGCAAACAAAATATGGCATATTTTTACTATTTTTTCTTATTCAACCACTTTATCAGCCGGTTAGATAATAATGCTAAATCACAGAAAAAACTTATTTGTATTAAGGTCATTTATTATTATTTAACTGCAACCAAATGATTAACGGTACACCTTGCACAGTTTCAATTTAAGCAGAATCCGATCCTCATCCGAACGTTTACGAAGGGCAACTGAGGCTAGCCTCCACTGCTCAGGCCGTATGAATCTAGCATGGCGAAGCCACAGAGAATCAAACTGTGTGGCCCTTATGTTACCTACATAGGATCTTCAGAGGAGTGTAACCTTAGAGAATAAATAACAGAATAAATAAATACATTGTCACTGCTTCATTTTGTTATATTTATTTTAGTTTTCAATTTATCGGTTTATATGAAGATGTTTGTGAAGAGTCTCTGTGTAGTGTAAATGTATAACTGTATAAAGTTATTTATTTCAGTGTTTAGCGAGGCTATTGTGTATTCTTGTGTTTTCATTTATCTTGTTTCTACATATTTAATATTATGAAAATGTATAAATGTTGACTGTAAGTAATACAAGAGAGACGTGTATATTCCATAAAAAAACAATCAGACGGAGACAAATTCTGGCACAATAAACAACTCGGTACGTGTTTCCGACCTAAGCTAACTTGTCCAGGCACTAACCTTCTAACCCACTTTTGACTTGCACGTGTACTATATGATAGAACGCGGACAGGATGCAAACAAACATTTTTGTCTCAATACATGATAAATAGATATAAATTAAACATTGTGATAACAATTGTGATTTATTCATTAATGCTGATGCTAAAACAACAAATTAATAGGGATGATTGTTTTTGAATGTACGGTTATTACAATTTATCATTTTTAATATTATTAACATTTTCACGTTTTATAATTTATTGTGTTAAATAATATATAGTTTTAGTATTATGATCAATTTATTATTCAATATGCAGTTGCGTATAACCAAAGTTTACATAATAAATGTAAACTTTAGTGTAAATGTNTGATTTATTCATTAATGCTGATGCTAAAACAACAAATTAATAGGGATGATTGTTTTTGAATGTACGGTTATTACAATTTATCATTTTAAATATTATTAACATTTTCACGTTTTATAATTTATTGTGTTAAATAATATACAGTTTTAGTATTATGATCAATTTATTATTCAATATGCAGTTGCGTATAACCAAAGTTTACATAATAAATGTAAACTTTAGTGTAAATGTAAACTTTGGTGTAACCTAGGGAGGTACTTATTGTATTTGAGAAAGTAATATGTTTTTTATCTGTTTAAAATGTCAGCACGAGTAAAACAGCATTCATCCGTCAAGAGCACTTTGTTAATAAAGTTAGGTTCTGCTGCACTTCGATTTAGGAACCAATTGCAAAATTCAAGACGGTTGGGGAAATCAGCTGGTTCTAAAGCTTGAACTTTTTGAAAATTGTACGGGTTGAGTGAATTCTTGCGCAATATCTGTCACACTTTGGTCTGTGATATCTCCAATCGCCTTGAAATTGTTCTTGTGGAAATAGGCATCACATTTAAGTCATTTTGTCGATGTCCTGGACATTCTCTGTGCGGTATGATAGACCCCATGTCACGAAGACGTTGGACGGTTTGCACAATTGTCTGCGGGCTCCTCTCTATCAGGGAAACGTTTCCGATATTCAATTGCAGTGGCATTTGCATTCTGTACACACTCTCCGTATAAAATCACCATATCCACATATTCGGCATTCATATACAAAGCCATTACGACCAACACTTCAAACAATCCGAAATAAACTAACGGTTTTGTGTGTCTTTCCAATCCACATCCCTTCTCCATTTGTATGGTGTGATCTTCACTGCAAATTTGTGGGAAAAATGCGGCAGAACGCAGGTGGTAGATTTGAATAATTTGATTTGAACGTTTTAAATTGTTAATGGTTTTGTAACCGTGTGTAGTGTATTTTGTATATTCGGGTATTTAGTGTGCTGACTTTTTTTAATTGATAAAACATGGTGTGCTTACAAACAGGTAACTACCTCTGCATTATTTATTTTCTTTTAACGAAAGTTGAGTTCGAGAAGTCAGGCTTGTTAAAACATTTTGTACTAAGTTAATACAATTGTTAAAATTATTTATAATAAAATGCAGCATGGTCCTTTATTTACTTACATTTTATTGGTTGCGTACATATGTACGTATACTAAAACGAATTAAGTGGATACGTTTAATGCGGAACGCAAAGTAAATGTGAACCACAGATTATGATGTGGGTTGATTTCCTTCATTTTTAAAAGTTTAGTCAAAAATTTTTTTTCCGATTTTCTGTATTTATTAGGCTTTCCGAATATGTGCTTAAATTAATGACATTATGGCTGAATCACCCTGTATATACAAATCAAGAAAGAGTTAGATATGGTTAGAGCCTACTCATTGTCAGGAGAAAGTGATGCTGCTGCAAGAAGACGATATCGGATAGATAGATTATTCCGAGCAACAAATACTGAATAAGAATATGTTTGTAAGTTTGGTTCAACATTTAAGAGAATTTGGGAGCTTTGTACGCTAATATATTAAAGTTGGACACGGTCAAACTCAAAGAGTGAGAAACTTAGAACCAGAAATTTTAAACACCATGGAAGAAGATCTGGTACAAGTGCCTGAAGATTAGCCACAAGATTTCAAGTATGTCATATGGCTGTAAAATGAACGTTGAAGCTGCACGGATTAAATACAGGCGCTGAAACCCGAAGATTTCATGTACAAAATTGCAAAAATATTTACTATATTACAAACATCTTGTCGTAAGTCGATAAACCGAAAACTGAAATACATGTAATAAAATGAAGCGGTGACATATTCGTCCATTTTCATAATGACGAAATAACATCCGTTTGTCTTTTGTCCGCCTAGCGCTTTGTTGCCATATCACATCAGGTAGATAAATATTAAACTAGGTCATCGTCACTGAGACTCACAAGCCAAACCCGGTGCTTTTAAAAAATGTTAACAAATACCTTTTTTTTCAGATTAATATTGCGTACTATTACCCTCAAAAAACTGACCCCCGCTCAAAGTTAGGCTTTGTATATTCCGAAGTCTACTGTTAATAATATTATGACCTACTTACGCTTCATCTTGGATAAGTCTCTGCCTTTTTAATTCGATTTTGAGATTTTCTTCCTCCTGCTTCATTTCCTTTTCTACTTCCAGGGCAATTTTAGATTGCTTTTGTAGTAGTGCCGAGTCATATTGTTCCTTGAGCGCAACGATATCCTCCAACTTCTTCTCATTCTGTTCCTCCAAAATTTTCTGCCTTTCCACTAAAATAAAACATTACAAAACAAGTGTTATAACTCTTAAAATATTCCATTTAAACATACAAGTAAGGCGCCTCAAAGTCACAGCTCTCTTTTTGGCAATCAAACTCATGAATACGGGATCTTGCTCACGCGATTTTGTTAGGACCTGGGCCAGATTGAATCTTGACCCGCACTCTGAACACACTTCTAAATAATAGCTTGTGGCGTTTTGTTTCAGGAGAGAAAGTTGGTCTAACGTTAAGCAGCAGGACACGATCGCAGGCTTCTTTCCCATTAAATACAAACACAATTTGCTCTGGAAGATTAAGCGGTGAATATTAAGCTAATTAAAATGAATTTTACAAAATGTTTAAGTACGTTAAATAAATAACCTCATAGACAAGTTAGTCGTTTACAATTTTATAAATTAAAAATAGAAAATCTCAACATTTTGTACAAAGATCACGAAATTCAGCCATAATAATTTAGCTAAACCATTTCTGCATTTTGAATATTGATTATTTAAGTGATCTGCTGTTAGAAAAATAAACATAATGTAATACTACTAATATTTCTTAAATTACTTACCGAATTAACGCAGAGTTTCAACAGGTTCATCGTTTTTCCACAGAATAAGATGTCCGTTCTCAAATCTATCAGAAAATCTGGTACGATATCCTCACGTATTGTATAACTCCGCGTCCAATAAGTACGCCCTCTTGTAGAAATATATTTGAAGTTCGGCTTAATAAAAAACTCCCCGTATGGATCATTTATAGTACCTTCTAGAATCCACTGTTTTAGAAATCGGCTGAAAACAGAATGTTAACTAGACTAAAATCAACCATCGTTTATTAACAGCATTGACTTACCTAAAATATACTTGACAGCAGGGGTAAAGAATGGAATATAGTACTAAAACTACTTTTTGGTCAGTCAAACTAAGTACTTTTTGGTATAAATAATTAAGCAAATTGACCCCGTGCGGTATATCTTCGGACTCTACGTAGGGTCCCACTTTACAGATAGAAGCTAAAGTAGAAATTTGCAGTCTTAAATGGTAAGTCTGTTCGTGGAAATGTAGAAAACTTGTCGAATCCGGGATGTTGAAAGCTGCCGTACAATAAAATTTTAAGTAGCGGTTAATACTTTCGCAAAATTCCTAGAAAAAAAATAATTGTAATAAATATCTTCGATATTATTTACAAAACATCTACCATAAAAATGTACCCTCCATACTTGTATTTTCCGCTAGAAGGATCTGGCGTACTCATTTTATTCAAAGCTTTGTAACAGGTGCTACTAAACATCAAGTCGTTACAATACTTCTCTAACGTATCGGGTGCTATACCTTCCACCGTTATACTGGGCATCATATAAAACTCACCTCTTTTGTCGAAACTAAAAGAATCCGACACCATACCCACTAGAAATAGATACCATTAAGTTTCAAGCTTCGTTTCAGGAAAAATGTAATTGTAACACAAAATCTAACCTAGCAAATACTTCAGATCTCTTATGAAAGCCCTTCTGGGTATCAACTTCGAGTTGAAAACTGTGCCTTCTCTAAACAACTTAACCATGTACAGAGACTCCAAATTTTCTACCCATAACGAAGATAAAGGCCCTAATTCAGACAGAAAAGGACGCTCCTTGTCCGGCTCAGGATACCCAAAGTATTCCCAATTCCGACGATTACTGTACTCTAATTTTGCTGCAACTTCCCAGATATTATCTTCTGGAGTTTGTGGAGGAGAATAGTATCCCTCGTCTTTGAATATCTCGTTGAATTTTCCTTCAGGGGAGAGATCTGGGTGAACGGTACATTTATTTTCTTGTTGTTTAGACAGAGACAACAAATCAAAATCTTTAACGGTAGCTCTTTCAGACTCTTCCAGAAGTGCCGCAGGCAGCTTAAAGAGTTTGTTGAAATTCTCAAATTCGTCTATTGGCGGCAGAGATGCTAAATCCTAAAACAATTTTTCTTTTGTTAGTATTAAAAGCAATTTAATTATAAAAATGTAATATATATAAAAATACTAACTAGTAAGTTATCGTCTCTTGTTGGCACATTTCTTAAACTCAATAAAAATTGTAAAATACTGTTGCATGCATCAATATCGTGTCCGTAGCACTGTTGAAATTCCTCTGCACACTGTTGTAAATTGTCTGCGTGACCTCTTAAATTGTAGTCGTGTATGAGAGTTAGCTGCCATGATAGTAAATTACAAAAAGGATCAGTGGTTCCTTTCAAATCTTTAAATACTAAAAGCAAAATTTTTACTAGAATGCTTCCTTAAATTATTATAATTACCTTTCCGATAATTTGGTTTTCGCTTTCCCAGCAATATTTCATAACATTTTGATCGGGACTTTTTTACTTTATCTGGGTCACTGTAAAATTTTTCACACAGACCAGTAATTAATTTAAAAGCACTGTCACCATCGTTATCATCCATAATTTAAATAATTAAAAAAATATAAACAAATCTTTCGAGTGACAGCATAACTGTCAGATTTCAAATTATATTCACTGAAGTTAGCAGATGTATTTTTGAACTACTGAAGTCCAATTGTATGTACGAAACATAATGTTCAATATAACAGAAATACAATACCTAATTCTTTATGATCGTTCTTAATTTTTAGAAAATGTCGCAGTCGAAAAAAGGCAGAATTGTAGTAATTTTGCATTCATAAACATTATTCAAACGACTCATCTCACCATTTTTCTGCTTCTGTTATTTTAGGTTGGCACAACTGTTTACATTTGTCTGTTCTGTCAAGGATGTTTAAATTTTTGACAAAAAAAAATTATAAATAACAGTTTCTGATCCCATACTTATATTAAGACAAAATATTAGAATAAATCACTGCAAACCACAATAATATTTCCAATGATTCCCTCCCACGCGATATAAAAGTTAGTTTATGTAACGGATGGGAATGGGAGGCATTGGAAATCTCGTACACACGCAGTAATTTTGGGGATGGAATCTGAAAAAATTCTAGTCGCAGCTGGTTTAACAGCTGCTGCAGTTGTTGGAGCTTTTGTATTTTGGGGCCCCTCACCAGGCTCCGGTGGTGGGAGAGGAAGGCTAGCAGGTTTAGTGAATTTAGGGAAGACTTGCTTTTTAAACGCTATCTTACATGCTTTAGCCGCTTGTCCGCAATTTATCACTTGGCTTGAGAAAGACAAATATGCCAAAGAAACAAGCTTACGCAGTACATTAGCTACGGTCTTATCAGGTAAGTCACTTGCATAGCTTTTAACTTTTTTACTTATGTTATGTTTTCAGTTGTAAACGGAACAAATAAATCAGTGCAAGACACTTATGCACCAGCAGCAGTAATAAACGCTTTGAAAAGGCTCGGTTGGGTAATACCAGCAGGAGAACAAGATGCACACGAATTACTTAACGTTATTCTGACAACTTTAGATGAAGAAACGCAAAAAATTGGCAGAAAGGTAATACAGTTCTATATAATGTGATGTATTTTTTAAAATATATTGTACTTATAGGCTGGGTGTTTGTCGGACGCACTTGGTATGAACGATTTAGGTGAATTAACAAACGAAGAGGAAGAACCAACGGAATTTAATTCCTTAGGCAGTGTCATGTCCCTAAACGAGTTGTGTAGACCCAACAGTTTGACTTGGAGAGGCGGGGCTATCAGGAGAAACAGGTGGATATCTAGGTCTTGCAGGGCTTTACAGATGTCGGGGCCTCCCCCACAACCAGCGACACACCCCTTTACAGGGACTTTGACTAGTCAATTGCGATGTACTGAATGTGGATACAAAGTAAGTTCTTTTTTGCTACACGTAGATATATTTTCTTGTATCTGGTTTGCAGTCTGCCGTACGTTATGATAAATTCGAAAGCTTGTCGCTGGCACTACCTAGCGGCGCGGGTGATTTGGGTTGGGGTCGGCACAAACTTCATCAATTATTAACGAATTTTGTCACTCCGGAAGTAGTTCAGGACGTCCAGTGTGAGGGTTGTAATAGGGATAGGGATCCTGCAAGGCCTGCTATTCTATCGAGGCAGATAAAAATTCTTAATTTCGGAAAGGTAAAATGTTGTTTGTAAATTTAAGTTTTATGTAACTCCGTGAAATTTTATTTCAGTTGCCTCTGTGTTTGTGCATTCATATTTCCCGAAATACTTGGCAGCCTAGCGGCATGTCCAAGAGGCAAGATTACGTCCAATTTCCAATGAGGTTGTCCATGTCAGCTTATACATTCATTCAAGTGCATTATCAGAGGAAGCTGCCTAACGCAGTAAGTAATTTATTAATTAATTTCTTAGATCGGTTTTCACACGAGTGAGGTTAAAAAATTATGAGAAAATAAACATATACCCATTTTTACATAAGTACACATACAGGCTGTTACAAATTCGCAAACGGTAAAGGCTAACATGATTAGTTTTCGAAATATTTGGAAATCCGATTTTGTTTCATTTTAGCCTTGTTTGAGGTGATATTGGAAAAAGAACACTTTCTCATGGCAACTTTTTGCCCTCTATCGAATGGCGTAATCTATTTTTATATGTAACGTTCCGTCTTTCCAGGACCATCATTAACTTCATTTTTTTTAAATACAGCCCTGGTAATTTTAATATATATAGTTTGAAAGCCTTTATAACCCCCAATACTGTCCGAACCAGATTCAGACGTTTTGTTTTGAAAAATTCATCTTCAATGTATTTGTTCCAAATTTATGTAAATTTTTTATTTAGATTTCTATGTTTATTGAATTATCGTACACTGTAAGTGCCGTTAGACCTTGTGAAATCCATCTAGTTATTTAAAATATAGGGTGCCACAATACATATGAATATTCAAGTTTGCAAATTTTGCGCTTTTGTGAAATAATATCTGTATATAAGGTTTTGTATATAAAAAAAACTAATCGTACTGCCAAATCCATTACTTTGTTAATTCTAAGTAACATTATGCCCCTATCTATTTTATGATTAAAAATAATTTTATTACTTTTCCACGTTCAAAATATGGTTAAACATTTAGTGATATTAAAATATACTCCGTACTCTATGATCCAGTTGACATAATAGCCCAGTAAATGAAAAAAAATTGTAAAAAAATTTGTTTCAGATTGAAACTTGGTTTAATCATTAGTTTAGGCAAAAAGAAATGATATTTCCCAAAGAGTATCGATTTAAAACAACAAGATCATTGTTTAAACAATGATTATAATCTAAAAATTATCAAAAATGGAATTTTTTAGCTGTATTAAAAAGCGCTCTCCAACAGGAGTTTTTGCTTTTGTTTATATTTATAGATTTTTAAAAAACGCTTCATTTGAGACATGCTAAATTAAAATCCATTAACAATTTGTTTAAATAATTGCAAAAAACCAGCAGTTTGAATTTGCTATAAATAGAAGAAAAGAGCATAAATCGTCTCTAAACTGCAGTAAAAGTTGTATTTTATTACGCTTAAGAAACCCTGAAAATTTGTTAAAAAAATATTTATTTGTTTATTAGAAATAGCATTTTTTCAATTGCAAAAACGCGGTTGTTAGCGTTATAATAAAGGGCCTTATGAAGGCTTATTTGTTTTGTCTTGACTTATATTTTCAAGATATGCAATTGGAAATTGTAATTTCGTAGGCCAACCTCCTCAAAACGGCGTATAAACAAATAGTGTAATTTGTTTATAAGGTTTTTTGTTAATAACTTTGCGAAGAATGAATATTTTTGAAAGCCGCTTTGATATTCGTAATCCTGGTAATTTTTCACGAATTTAAAAAAAAATTGTTCTAGTACCATTTTTAGCCGCTATTTTTTTTTAAATCATAACTTGTTTATTTATAAACATTAAGACTTGAAATTTCGGGAATAAATCAATCAACTCTTAAACTTCATAATAACGGTTGAAGATATCGAAAAAAAATGCATTTTATAGTAATTTTTAACCCTTTAAAAAACGTCCTCGAATACATTTTTACACCTGGAATGTGGTGAGAGAAATAAGACAGAAACGTTCCTAGACTTCAAATTATTAACTGCCCGAAAATTTTGCGATATCTCCGGTAATTGTGGACCAATTTTAAAATTTTTTTTTAATCTGGAGTAAGGCATGAAAATAATAACAACTGCATGGTCCTTTTGCAATAATTAATTATTAATTCGTTATAAACTATTAATTTCGTAAAAAATAAACTTTATATATAAAAAATATGTCATTTCCTGAATTTTTTTACATAAAAATATTGTTTTTTAAGTAAATTTTTTATTGGTACTATTGCCAATTTTTTGTAAAAATGCGAAAAATTTTTTTTACAAAATTAATAGTTCATAACAAATTAATAATTAATTATTGCAAAATGGACCATGCAGTTATTATTATTTTCATGCGCTGCCCCAGATAAAAAAAAACGTTAAAATTGGTCCACAATTACCGAAGATATCGCAAAATTTTCGGGCAGTTAAGATTTGAAGTCTCGGAACGTTTCTGTCTTATTTCCCCCACCACATTCCAGGTGTAAAAATGTATTCGAGGACGTTTTTTAAAGGGTTAAAAATTACTAGAAAATGCATTTTTTTCAATATCTTTAACCGTTATTATGAAGCTTAAGGATTGATTGATTTATTCCCGAAATTTCAAGTCTTTAATGTTTATAAATAAACAAGTTATGAATTTAAAAAAAAAATGCCATCTCGACTAAAAACTAAAGATTTAACCGTTTCAAACTGAAACAAATTACCTTTTGATTTACATGTATTACAATTTTCATTTACAGGGCTATAATATGGTACATACGTTGTGCTGATCTTGAGATCTAATTTTACCATAAAATTTCATATCTTTTGAACCTGACATTTCCTCACTATTTTCTCCTAAATCTCGTTGCATCTTGTTACTCCTTGTTTTTATTGCATTTTTTTAACATTTTTCCGTTAAAAGACAAAATAGTTACGGAGTTTGGAAAAACTACTCCTATAGCAATCTCGATACAAAAAACATCGCAAAAACAGTCTGCAATAAGAATTTTTCAATTCACAGAATTACACTAGTACAAGCGAGGGGGGAAGTCCATTGTCCAGCAGTACCCCTCTCTGTTGGACTGGAAGCTCCCTGAGCGATATGGCCAATGAGTTTAGAAACGTCTACCAGCTTGCCGCAGTTGTTGTGCATGCCGGGGATGCCCATTCGGGTCATTTTATAACGTACCGGAAGGGATGTCAGAACAGCAGGTAAGTTGGGAACAAATTTCTTAAGGTACTATGGTTTTTCGGATTGTTATACCAAAAGCCTCGCCATAACTGAGGAAATTAAGTAGACGTTCACGCCTTATAATAAACAACAAGAACCAGAATTAACGTCAGAGTGGGCCTAGGGGCTCTGATAGCGGTTCCACAAAGTCTAGCCCGAGAACAAAAAAGACAAGTCAAAGATTCCTAGCTAAGGCTAAGAAAATGCATAGGCCACAGCGTAATAACCCGAAAAACTATCATACTTTAAATAAACTTCCATCAAAAACCTTTGTTGCTTTTACGAATTAAGGGGCGATAACGTTTGTTGATTTTTTAGGTGGTATTACACCTCCGACGTGGAAATAAGGGAAGTTACGGTCGACGAAGTGCTCCAAAGCACGGCTTACATGTTGTTCTACGAGAAAACAGTCTCGATGGCCAGCGCCTTTTAATTCTCACCAAAATTTATGCTGTGATTGTCTTTGCATTTGTGGTAAACGTTTTATTTATACGCTCCGAGTTCCTCTGGGGGAAGAATATCCTGTATTCACCCGTCTTCATTCCATTTCCTTTAACGATGCAACCGCACCATATCGTAGTAAAGAGAATAGCTAATTTGCTGTAGAAAAAGGTATAAATGCCATGGAGGTTGCGGAACATGTGTTGGGAAGAGGGGGTTGGTAAGCAGTTTATAGTTGATGTGATGAGCAACTATGCGATTGTTTTTGTAACATCAACTGTGCCGAAATTATCTCCTTTCTTTCTGGACGTGTTAAAATCCTGGCATTTTTCGTAATCAGGTTTTATTTTACCTCGTACATATTCCAATTTGTTTCTCAAGTAGGAGATACTTTGTCAATAAAAACTGAAGCATTTCGATTTCAATTTATCTGTTATTTGCAAAATAAGGAAGAAACGGTGAATGCTTCGTTTGTATAAGAAACTTTTTAAAAAGTTGATGTCCATTGAATTTTCTTAAAATCTAGTAACCTCTTAAAAAAACTTTAAGAATTACAATTTTTGCTACGGTTATTTTATAATGTTGGCAGTTATCGAATTATGAGTCTCTACGTTGTTTTTTTTTTTTTTCATAGAATAAATAAAAGTACGTTTCTGGTTGACAAATTTTGATATTGTTAAGAATGTTTTATAATTTTTTGAGTCACATAGTAGATCGAATGTGACGTGTTGGTTAAGGTTGACGTTTTCATCCTATATTTTACAATTTATGTGTATATTTATTGAATATGTTACTTATATTGTAGCGTTAAATAAAATTTAAGAAACACTTTATTTTGTTTTGTATATCTTTCGTTTCGTGAAAAAAGTTAAGAAAACAATATGAAAAGATAATATCGAGACACTTTTCAGAATAATAACGTCCAATTTTTAATATATTTTACTGATGTGAATATTTATAAAATCATTTGAGTTATCCTAGAAAGTGTGATGAAATGACGGACATAATGATCCTTCTATTCATTAATTTTAAAATGAATGATTCGAATCAGATTAATAAAGTACCGACTGAAAGCCAAAAGTGCGTCATATTTGATACCAATGAACTTTGTAATTTTAAAACTGAGGGTAAAATTACTCAAAATAATCCTTGTACTCCCACCAGCTTTAATGGTTTGTATCTCAGTTAGTTATAAACTAATAAGTGAATTAAGCCTTGTTAGGTTCGCCATAAGTACATAAATCTAATATTAACATATTCTCAACCTGATAGCTTTCAAAATGACTAAAATATAATTTGTAGAATATTGGACTCAATTCAGACTTTTATAATCGTAAATGATGTATTATACTTGCATTTATTAAACAATCACTATGCTGTAGATAAAATATAACCTACAAAGTATATGTCATATTTTGACTTGACTGAAAATCCAACGAAAATCCTCAATACCTACGGGCAAAAAGGATTACTTTGTACCTACTGCAAAAAATGACCTACCATTCAGATGCCATGAAGGCATGATTTTTCACACCAAGGGTCGTTTACACCAAAATATACATCTATGTAGCTACTAGCTAGCTTTAAAAACAACGGTTAAGCTTATTTCAGTAGAGTAATGTCAGTATTTAAGTTAAGTATGCTTTCATTTTTGATACATTTGCATTTCTTAAATAGTTAAAATGAACTACTACTCGAAGATTAGTTCTTTATTCATGTCGCGGTCGCGCGTAATCTCAATTTTATATTACTATTATAGCCCATGGAAACTACCCCTGTTACAGCCATTCGATGATTTATAAATAAAAATAAACTATAAATTAATAGTTATTAAAAAATTAGCAAGAGAAAGACCGTAGTGCAAATTTTTAAACGAAGAGAAGGTATGATACTTTGTATTTAAAAATAATACTAAAGTTGTACTTATTGTTAGTATTATTTCGAAATACAAGCTAGCATTTTTTTTATTAAAATATGTGTAAAAATGTAGACTCGTCTTTTTATGAATAAATTAAATTTTGTAAAAGAATATGAACAGAAATTTGAGTAGACCCCTTAAAATTTTTAGTGCTTTTCTTTGTTATCCAAAATTGATTTTTTTTTATTTTCAACATCAACAATAATTACATGGACCCTGTAAAGTAAACAACTTGAAGATAAACCCAGGCGTGTAACATTGACAAATTTTTATTTTTCACAAATTGTTTGTTTCATATACAATTATAATCAAATATACAAATATATAAACCACAGCTTCAAACACTTATATCCATATATTTACTTTTCATTCTGTACTTTTAACTCGTACTGTTCAGGGGTCAGACTAGGGTCTAACCCATGCAGTTTCATCTGAACCACCACATCGAACAAGTAATCGTAGCATTCCGTCATAGTTTTAGCCTGCTGCCAAGTATCGCCCCATACATAGACCTTAAAACACACAATTTAAAAGAATCGTTGCATATAAAAATTGATTTCTTACCCCGTGTCGACGCACAAGCACAGCACAAGTATGAGGGTATTTCTCAATAGTTTCTGCCAATCTGTCTTTAAGGTCTTCCTCGAACGGTGTGTTTTCAATAATAGGAACCACTAATTCTTCATCGTACCGAAAATTCTTACCCGTTCCCTGATTCTTTATCCCTTTGATCATCTCCAAGTGCGTGCACTTGAATTCCTTGCCAGGAAACAGCATAGTGGCCATAACGGCAGCTTTCGAGTGTGTGTGAATTACTGCCCCAGCATTTCTCATGGTGTAAGCGCACATAAAGAGAGGAGTGCATTGGCTTTTCTTGAGCTTTTTCTCAGGTGGCGGTAGTTCCAGATCGACTCCTTTGATGGTTTGCACAAATAAATCATTGGGCTGTATACGTTCCTTCTGTACGGCTGATGGTGCAATGTAGATTTCTTCTCCGTGTTTTATACTTATTCCTCCACCTTCAAATATACGATGTTAAAGTTATGTTATATACAAAAAACAAATATGAATGTTTCGAACATTTTGCAAATAACAAAACGTAGGTAACTTGCTAAATTTTGTAATCACCTGTTCCTGTGACCCATCCTAGGTGGTAAAATTGTCTGCATAGCTCAGGAATCAAATTCCTTGGGTGTTCTTCACCATAAGAATTATTTTTGTAAGACATTCTTTTCAGGTTGTTTCTTCTATACTAAAGAATAAAGGCAGTGTAAACTTTTTTATCTTATCAGAACGTTCGTAACGGTTATTTAAGGTCACATATACTTGGTTTCCAAACAAAATACATGTATTTTTCTTATTTATTTCTTTTAACCATAATAATAACCTCAAATACTCAAATCTTGAACTTGATTGGCCATGAGCCATGACCATAACCGTCGCAGAAATATTTTCTACAGGGTTCAAAATATATATGTTCGAATGTTTATATTTTGAACTTTGCATAGTTAAAATGTCAAATTAAAAACTTGGTAAATTTATATACATATTTGTTTATTGAATTAATGAAAATAATGAAAATTGTGTTATCTCTTATAAGAAATAATACCCAAGTACTCCTTTTGAGACTCCTCTGTTCCTCTACTAGTACCGCCATTATTCTATGGCTAGAAATTGGCCTCAATGATTTGGGATCGAGGGGGATTATCCCTTTTTATCCTGCCTCATCTCGTGTAGGCTTGGACAGCCTTCGTAGGTGGGCCCCATCCGTCGTCTACCCCGACCGCAAATGCGGCCGGTGTAGGCGCTTTGTGGGACCTCCTTTTGTCCTGGCTGGGCCCCGCCGGCTAGGGCCCTTTCTTCTGGCGCTCTTCTTGCTTCGCCGGCTCGTCTGTGTAAACCCCGGGGGTAGTGTCATGTTTATGTGTGGTATGGTTGGGTAGGGTAGTGCGGCTATGCAGCCTGGGATGCGCTTTGCTAAGGTGGCCCTTAGGCTAGCGCGGG